AAGAAGTAAATGCTTTCATTCATTCCTTTGATTTGAGTAATTTATTCATTTAAAGAACTGTGTCACGCTAGCTGTGAGGTGAGAAAGCAAATGCGGTTGCTGAATCCTTTACTTTTTGTCTTGTGACACAAATGCGCAGACCCATCTCTTCTTCTTTCTCGTGCTTTTTCTTGTCTTTCCGTGAACACATTTATCGGTGCCCTTTCCACACCCTGGGGCAGATTCCAAATCACACTATCTATTAGCAGTCACTTTGTTTTTGTTTTCTTTTACATTTTCACTTTCTTTGAGGACTGCACCGTTACAAAACATGCCCAACCCCGTTCCTATGGCTTCTGCGTTAGAAGTGGCCCATTGTATCCGTTGCCTCGCGGCGGACATTGTCCAGGGGGCAAATTCCGGTCACCCGGGTACGCCTATGGGAATGGCACCCGTCGCGACAGTGTTGTGGACGGAGGTGATGAAGTACCTCGGTTCGGACCCTGACTGGGCGGATCGCGACCGCTTCGTCCTCTCCAATGGCCACGGTTGCGCCCTGCTCTACTCCCTGCTACACATGTCCGGCTACGCGCTCAGCCTTGAGGAGCTGAAGCGGTTTCGTCAGCTTGGTTCGCTGACGCCTGGGCACCCGGAGCGTGGGTTGACGCCCGGTGTGGAGGTGACGACGGGGCCGCTCGGGCAGGGCGTCGCAAACGCTGTCGGACTCGCCATCGCTGAGGCGAACCTTGCCGCGACGTTTAACCGTCCTGGGCTCGACATCGTCAACCACTGGACATACGTCTTCTGTGGTGATGGTTGCCTGATGGAGGGTGCCTGCATGGAGGCGCTTTCCCTGGCTGGGCACCTGTGCCTGGAGAAGCTGGTCGTGGTTTACGACAGCAACCAAATCACCATTGACGGCTCCACTAAGCTCACTTTCACGGAAAATGTTCGGCTAAAGCAGGAAGCCTTGAATTTCCATGTGATAAAGGTGGAGGATGCTGACAATGACTTTGAGGCACTTCGAAATGCCTTTATTGAGGCCAAGACAGTACAAGGAAAGCCCAAATTTATACTCATTAACACGACAATTGGTTACGGCTCGAAGGCGCAGGGCACAGCAAAGGTACACGGCGCGCCTCTTGGCGATGAGGACATTGCTGTACTGAAGACCAAATTTGGGCGAGACCCAAACAAAAAGTATCACATCGATGATGCTGTGTACGAGGTATTCCGCAAGCATATGCGCCAGTGCGAACAAGCCCATCGGGAGTGGAATGAGAAGATGGAGAAGTATTCCAAGCGATACCCCAACGAGGCCGCCGCATTCAAGGCACAACTTAAAGGGGAGTTGCCAACCGGGTGGGAGGAAAAGCTCCCGCTAAACGATAAGCCGGTGGCAACGCGTAAGGCGAGCGAGAACTGCCTGGCGGCTCTGCTGCCGGTGGTGCCCTCCATCATTGGTGGCTCCGCTGACTTAACACCGAGCAACTTGACGCGCCCTTCGTCGGCTGGAATGACCGATTTCACCGCTTCCACGCCCGAGGGGCGGTATATTCGTTTCGGGGTACGGGAGCACGCGATGTTGGCGATTCTGAACGGGATCGACGCCCACGGTGGGCTCTTGCCGTACACGGGCACCTTCCTCACCTTCTTCGGCTACGCCCTCGGGGCGGTGCGGCTGGCGGCGCTCGGCCACCACCACGTCATCTACGTCGCGACGCACGACAGCATCGGCCTCGGCGAGGACGGGCCGACGCATCAGCCGGTCGAGGTCGTGGCGATGATGCGTGCGATCCCGAATCTGCTCGTGTTTCGACCGGCTGACCAGACGGAGACGAGCGGTGCCTGGGCGGCGGCGATCCGCACCCCGCGGCGCCCTTCTATGCTCTGCCTGAGCCGGCAAAACACCACGCCGCAGGCGGCGTCCTCCATCGCGGGCGTCGCGAAGGGGGCGTACGTGGTGCGTGAGGTCGATGATCCGCAGCTGTTGATCATCTCCAGCGGGGCGGAGGTTGGCATCGCAATGGAGGCCGCCACGCTGCTGTCGGGCCTAAGGGTGCGGGTGGTGTCGATGCCCTGCCAGGAGCTCTTCGACGAGCAGCCGCTGGAGTACCGGGATTCCATTATCCCGAGGGGTATTCCCGTTGTCTCCGTGGAGCCCTACGTCTCCTTTGGCTGGGATAAGTATTCCCACGTGCACGTGGGGATGAGCGGCTTCGGGGCCTCCGCCCCGAGCGAGAAGCTCTTCAAGCACTTTGATTTGACACCTGAAAGGGTCGCTGAGGTCGGCCGCAAATTGATTGAGCGCTTCCCAAGCGGAACAGCCCCCCTCAAGGCATGTCGTCTGTAAGCGACAGATCCATACGGCTTATTGGCGATGACAAAAATATTGATACACAGTATAAGGATTAACAAGGGCGATTGTAGGGGTATTATTTTTTTAAAGCGAAATAACATCAACCAGACAACCATAAAATGCAAATCATAAACCTCAAAAAAAAAAAACTATTTACATGAGTATCGGTAAAAGGAAGTAAGAACCTTGTGGACTATTGTCGCGTGATTTGTCGTGATCAAACATTTGAAAATATTCTGCCATACACACGTCAAAGATAGTGTGAGGATTGATCTTTTGCTTATCTTTTTTCTCTCAAATAGAATGAGAGGGTCAAATCGTGCTCAAATATTTCAGCAAAATCCAAATGTCAACACTACGCGTTACGAAATTTTTTTTGTAAATCATTTAGTGCACAATTTCAGACGATGTCGTCATGAGAAACAATTCATCGATCGGTTGTGATTCATGAAAGCGTACAATTTATCGTACTTCTATACTACTGGGACAAAGCAAATGACATAATTATATGATTTCGCTCTCTATTATGATTGATGCTTTCTTTGATTCTTTTGAAACGAACATAAGAGGTTGATGAGTAATGCGTGGTTTAGGGTGAATTGATTAGTGAAAGCATATGGAAGTAGTATCATACATTAATAAGCGCCTTGGAACAAACTTAGGTTGTATTTCCCTTATTTACGCAGAAGCGCAAAATCCTATCTTTTATCGAGATAGCGTATTTTTTTTGCCTTCTGGATCCACTAGCACCATCATCTTCCACACGTGGAGATGTTTTTCATGGGTGGATCACATCTAAGTTTCTGTTTCTCAGGTGTAAACTCCGATATGTATTGATATTCAAAAACGCGATCATGACGTCGTAAATTCAAGTAATTCAAAAAATATGAAATAACATACTGCGGAGAAATAAAAAATATTTATTTTGTTTCTTTAATAGAAATAACTTTAAAAGCTCTATTCTCAATGAACAGAGCATAATTTCGGGTTGTTTGACTTTATGCAAGGATTATGAATGAAAATGGGATTCCTAATATTAGTATTTACTCTAATGTGGAAAAATAAGTGCGGCGAAAGGTGTTTTCTTTTTTGTCTCACTCAGCACCACCTTTCATATGTAATGTCACTCTTTCTATTCCCTTTATAATATCCTTGTCTTTTCCTCTTAATTTTTCATATCAAATTATCTTTGTTACTTATTTTCGGTGCTAGCACTGACTCTTTTTTTTTGTTATTTCCTTTGAAAAAGGTACACCGCTGTGTTAGAGCACCCCTGAAGGAAAATGGTCAGCATCAAGTGTGGATCCCGTCGCAAGGCTCGCCGCGCGCACTTCCAGGCCCCCAGCCATGTGCGCCGCATCCTCATGAGCGCCCCGCTCTCCAAGGAGCTGCGCGCAAAGTACAACGTTCGCGCGATGCCAGTGCGCAAGGACGACGAGGTCCTTGTCAAGCGTGGCTCCTTCAAGGGCCGTGAGGGCAAGGTGACGGCGTGCTACCGCCTCAAGTGGGTGATCCACATCGACAAGGTGAACCGCGAAAAGGCCAATGGCTCGACCGTGCCCGTCGGCATCCACCCCTCCAACGTCGAGATCACAAAGCTGAAGCTAACCAACCACCGTAAGGCCATCCTCGAGCGCAAGGACCGCCTCGCGAGCAGCGACAAGGGCAAGGGCAAGGTTACCGCCGCGGACAAGGCCATGCAGCAGATGGACTAGATGGTGCTACCAGCACAAAGGGAAACGAGTCGGCAAAGACGGGGAAGAAGGAAAGAGTCTCAGAGGGCTTCGCTAGTCAGAGTGAGAGGTGTGTGGGGAGCTGAGTGAGGGAGATATTTACACATAAGCATCCTTTTCTTTTGGGAAATAGGAGGTCTTTGGTATTTTTTCCTCACTCGCCATTCACCTGCTTTCGTGCCTTCTGTTTTGTTGTGCAACCCTACTTTATGATTATTTTCTTTTTGTACAAATTATGAGGCATCGAGAAATCATGGTTTTTGATTCCTCACAACATGAAAGAAATATAGGTAAGGGGAAAGCAAATTTTTTATGAATGAGACATCCATCGTTTGTTCTTCTTCGTAACCTTTTTTTGAACTTTTTTAGTATTCTTGATTTTCACTAGCACTCCTGGGTAGAGGAGGGACGTTTTCACAACTTATGGGTCTTTTCGAAGGGTGCAATACCTTTAGCAGTTACCTTGTGTTGAACGTTTCTCGCCCTTCTGCTAGTGTTAGACGTTCACAGGCTAGCACCCATTAGAACCCCTATTCTTCCGCATGAGGTCCTTTCTTCTTTCCGTACACATTTTCCTGTGTTCATTACTCAACTTCCATCGAGGATGAGAGTTTAGCTTGGATACGATACCCCCCTCCCTCCCCTCAATGGCTTAGTTTCTTTTCTAAACCTTTGCTATTGACAGGACCGAAGTGAATTGGCGGAAAAAGATGATAACATTGTCAACAAACAAAATCAAGATGTACGAGAAGACATTATGGAAACAAAATGGTTATTGCAATCCTTAATCAAGGGTTTTAGTCTCGTTATGAACCAGCTCGGCGACATTACGATGATGATGATTGCAGCGCAGAGCTTTCCCAACATGGATCTCAACTTTCTTTTAATGTGAAGCCACTCTTACTCTTCCTCTAGAATCCTCTTAGTTTTTCTCGAAACGAAGTCTTAGGCTTCTATGTCAAGCAGTATATGATGACTCTTCATCTTCTCAAAACCTGAATATCGACGGTACCGTGTTGGCATAAGGGAGAATTCTTAACAATGTACTTCCGATTTTCTGCTTTACTACTTCAAACCAAATAAATCCATATTGCAATGAAGCCATACTTCATAATCAACTTTGTCACTATACTCTTCAAGCGTTTGTGTGTCTTGAATAAATATACACAAATTAATGGAACTTATTAATATATGTATTCATTAGGAATTT